TTCGACGCGTGGTAATTCGATGCGTGGTAATTCAATGCGTGGTAATTCGACGCGTAGTACTTCGACGCGCGGTAATTTAATGCGTGGTAATTTGGTGCGTGGTAATTCGACGCGTGGTAATTCGATGCGTGGTAATTCGACGCGTGGTAATTCGACGCGTAGTAATTCCATGCGTAATAATTCCACACGTGGTAATTCGACGCGCAGTAATTCAATGCGTGGTAATTCGCCACTCGGTAATTCAACGCGTAGTAATTCGACGCGTGGTAATTCGATGCGTAGTAATTCGACGCGCGGTAATTCAATGCGTAATAATTCGATGCGTGAAAAATCCCCAAATCCAAAAATGCCTCAATCTAGAAATCCTTAAAAGTCTTTAAATTAGATATTTAAAAATTTCGAGACACGATATTAATCAGCATAATTAATCAACACCCCACAATACGCAAGGCGGCACGAACGAATTTCAACGACAAGCGTTAACAGCGCACGTATTCCCATAGCGAATGTTTCTGGCGGGCTGAAAAAAGCCGGCAGAAAAACAGACGTTGACTGAGGGATGGTTGACGGTGGGTGTCGTACAAAAAGGAATCCAATCTCCTGCGTGGAGATGGGCAAACGAACGACAAGATGGAACAGTGTGGCCGTGTAACGCGTGTGAAAACAGCCTTCCACTGGTTGGTTTCGATGGATAAACATCGATCAGAGTGCGAGGAGGATGGTGTGGAGTCGCGCGGATCAACGCGCGGATTGGCAGGCTAGCAGGAAGAGGAACGCGAAGGATCAGGCAGGCCGAAAGGACGAAGAAGGAGGTGGTGGTTCGCGTATAAGCAAGCAAGTGAGTTGGCAAGTTCGTCGAGGCTCTCAGAAGCCGGTCTGTTTGTCTTCCTCGTGGTCCCGAAGAGCTGTTTGCATTGGCTCCGCACCTCGGTGACTGAGTGAAATGATTTCGTCGAGGCGAGCCTCGAGTGCACTCTCCTCGACGAGCTGCCGAGTGTTGCTCCACGTTCGATGCGCCTAACCCAGGGAAATGACTTTCGGTTTCGACACCTCGAGTTTCGTTATCGTGGCTTTTCCTGATAGTCGATACCGAACGACTTTCAACCTTCGTCAATCGACGAATTCTAGCTTGAGTGGAGGAAGGGGAGTGAATTAGAGGCGACTGTTAGGGTATCTTCTTTGTTCGAATTTAGTATGCAACATCGCTAGCTATACATTTTAGCGTGCTGTTTGAAATGTTTGAATCATCAAATTCTTAAATTCTCAAATGTTGAAAACCCCAGATGTATAAATCCTCGAAAACTGAAAATTGCCAAATCCTCAAATACTTGAATTCATATCCCTAGCTCCCAAATCCTTAATTGCCTAATCTCTATATCACAAAATATCTAAATTTGTAAATACTAAAAATCCCCAAATCCCTCAATCCCCAAATCCATTAACCACAAAGAATCCTCACTCTGCTAACAAATTGCATAATCGTAAATATCAAATTGGAACGCAAAGCCAGTAACAAGTACCGAGCATTTAAAGTTTCGTCGAATCTCCCATTTCATAGCTTATCATTAATTTCCCTCGCAGCCATTATCACGATCGTTTTCCATGTCTTCGCATCGTTACACTTCCGACTGTTCGCTCTGTGATCTTCGTTCTCAGCCAGCGAAACCGCCGTAAGTAATTTTCGCGTGAAATCGTCGGGACTCTAATTTCACTCGTTCGGTTATTTCATTTATCTTGAAATTGCTGCACGGAATTCCATGAAATCGGCACGGAAACCCTTAAAACGTTTACCGAATGTTCTTGCACCTACGTCTCGAGAACTCTGACAGCTATTAATTTTCGGAGAAGCTGTTAATTTTCAACATCCACGCGTACACACCGTCGTGGTATTTCCTAGTGTGCTTTTCTTTCAACCTTCACACCCACGTTTCGATACCTACGTATACCTTTGGCTAAATGGAGAGCTTCTTGAACCAGTTACTTCCTTTCTTCGCGATCAAAGATGATCGATTGGAAATTTTAAGTGTTATTTCATAACTTCTGATAATTTGCGATTACGGTCTGATGGTACTAGGTTTAATTCTATTCATTTTATTTAACATTTAGCTAAGTCATGAAGTGACTTGATATGACATCACATTTTTTTAGGACTTAAACTACTTAATTTATATTTGATTACCATGGTCTTTTATGATTAGTGTAATTCTTTCTGAGATTCTATAATATTTTTTGTTCTAATATTGTTACAGTAGGTTATTAATAATTATTCACGTTCAGCTAAATGGGAAGCTAAATGGCTCCTCCACAATATAATCTTATTTCTTGAAGTCTTACATTGTTAAACATGACTTATAACATTGCTATGAACATCTAATTTATTTGTACAATATTACAGTTCAATCTTTATAATTTTCTCTCAGATAACATTATAGTAAGTGTCTATGAACATCCACCTAAATAAAATTCATCTTCAACGCATATTCTTAAAAATCTTAATTCTCCAATACCTTGCATGGTCCTCACCGAGTTAAATCTTCAAAGATAAGTGAAATCCGTCACATTTTGGCCGAACACCAGGAGAAAGTCTGAAACCGTGATAATTGGTCGATGATTGTATCCTGAGACAGGATACTGGTCTCCCGGCGACGTTACTTTATCCCCTGGTTTCACTTAACCGGTTTAGGCCCATTGAACGGTTGCGAATAGCGACGAGTTAGCTTGATCGCAACTCGTTGACGCAGGAAATCCGTTTATCCGTGCTAAGCCGATACTCCTTTAGAAAATACGAGCAGCTGTCTTGAAGTCAGCCCAGTTACGGTGACG